CCAGGCCTAAAAGCTCTATTTAGATGGCGGAGCAGATGTGTAGTCAGGGCTGCCACAGTAATTCTATCTGTTATGCAGGGATGTTCCACAAGTCAGAATTGCAGTGTTTAGATGGGTGGTTTCAAGTGCATTATGTGATAGGCAATATTTTGTGGAAGGGTGAGCCTGTATATAGCAAAGGGATGGCACAACAGAAGAACATCTAAACTAGGAAATGAGAGAAAGCCACAGGCGCTAAGCTGCAGTCAGGTTGGATCATCTCTGTTACAGATGCAGCAAAAGTCAGGAGAATGGCTAATAGGAAAGAGAGCGCCGAGAGTTCCAAAAGCAGATGCACAACATTAGAATGCTGAAATTCTTGAATATAGGCTATGACACAGCCGCTAGATGTCTGCATGCAGTATGGAGTTCCACTCTGGAGGTGGCCCAAAGGAGGCAAAGCTGGTACAGGGGCTGTGGGAAGCCTGTTTGCATCTGGCTGCAGTTGATTTTATTTACTAAAACACCTTCTGTTTAAAGAGGAGAGGTAATTCTGCCTCTCAGTTGATAAACTAAACAGTAATAAGTCACCAGAACCAGATGGTATTCACCCAAGAGTTCTGAAGGAATTCAAATGTGAAATTGTAGAACTACTAACTGTAGTCTGTAGCCAATCATTTAAATCAGCATCTGTACCAAATGACTGGATGATAGCTAATGTGATGCCAATTTTTAAAAAGGGCTCCAGAGGTTGATCCTGGCAATTACAGGCCGGTAAGCCTGACTTTAATACCAAGCAAACTGATTGAAACTATAGCAAAGAACAAAATTATCAGACACATAGATGAACATAATTTGTTGGGCAATAGTCAACATGGTTTTTGTAAAGGGAAATCATGCCTCACCAATCTACAAGAATTCTTTGAGGGGGACAACAAGCATGTGGACAAGGGGGATCCAGTGGATATAGTGTACTTAGATTTTCAGTAAGCCTTTGACAAGGTCCCTCAACAAAGGCTCTTATGCAAAGTAAGTTGTCATGGGATAAGATGGAAGGTTCTCTCATGGATTGGTAGCTGGTTAAAAGACAGGAAACAAAGGGTAGGAATAAATTGTCAGTTTTCAGAAAGGAGAGAGGTAAGTAGTGGTGTCCCTCAGGGGTCTGTACTGGGACCAGTCCTATTCAACATATTCATAAAATGATCTGGAAAAAGGGATAAACAGTGAGGTGGCAAAATTTGCAGATGATACAAAACTACTCAAGATAGTTAAGTCCCAGGCAGACTGCGAAGAGCTAAAAAAGGATTTCTGAAAACTGGGTGACTGGGCAACAAAATGGCAGATGAAATTCAATGTTGATAAATACAAAGTAATGCACATTGGAAAACATAACCCACTGATACATATAAAATGATGGGGTCTAAATTAGCTGTTACCACTCAAGAAAGAGATCTTGGAGTCATTGTGGATAGTTCTCTGAAAACATCCACTCAATGTGCAGCAGTAGTCAAAAAAGCAAACAGAATGTTGGGAATCATTAAGAACGGGATAGATAATAAGACAGAAAATATCATATTACCTCTATATAAATCCATGGGACACCCACATCTTGAATACTGCGTGCAGATGTGGTCACCCCATCTCAAAAAAGTTATATTGGAATTGGAAAAGGTTCAGAAAAAGGCAACAAAAATGATTGGGGGTATGGAACAGTTGCCATACGAGGAGAAGACTGGGACTTTTCAGCTTGGAAAAGAGGGGGATATGATAGAGGTCTATAAAATCATGATCGGTGTGAAGAAAGTAAATAAAATGTTATTTACTCCTTCTCATAACAAGAACTAGGGGCCACCAAATGAAATTAATAGGCACCAGATTTAAAACAAACAAAAGGAAGTATTTTTTCACACAATGCACAGTCAACCTGTGGAACTCCTTGCCAGAGGATGTTGAGAAGACAAAGACTATAACAGGGGTCAAAAAAGGACTAGATAAGTTCATGGAGGATAGGTCCATCAATAGCTATTAGCCAGGATGGACAGGGATGGTGTCCCTAGCCTCTGTTTGTCAGAAACTGGGAATGGGTGACGGGATGGATCACTTGATGATTGCCTGTTCTGTTCATTCCCTCTGCGGCACCTGGCATTGGCCACTGTCAGAAGACAGGATACTAGGCAAGCTGGACCTTTGGTCTGACCCAGTATGGCCATTCTTAAGACAGTTTCTAACGCCATATTTAGGATCTGATGCTGCACCACTGAAGTTAAAAGGCACATGACCAGCACTACACCAAAGTGGCCAGTAGGGGTGGCAGGAAAGGTTATTCAGAACTTTCCAAGCTCTAGCCACTTAGGCCTGGTCTACACAGGATTTTTTTAATTTTATTTTATTTTTTAAACACCACAACTATATTGGTCACTTTTTTCCATCAGTAAAATACTTATACCAGTACTACCCTAGCATGGATGTGGTTATACCAATATAAAGATGCCATCTACCGATATAACGTATTCCTCTTCCCATGCAAGAATAGCTCTAGCAAAGTTTTATACCAATAACAACATCCACACAGCGAGCTGTACTGCCTTAGCTAGACCAGTAGAGTTTAAGGACTGGCATTTTCAAAGGCGTCTAGTAAGACATTGAGGTTATAGGGCACATTTAAGCAATTACTCTAAGCCTAGAGAAAGTTACCTTACAATTGATCTGTGACATGCACTAATGATGTAGTTGCTCATCTTCATCCGTTTTGAAGAGCGGAATGCTCATCTTGAGGGGTTTTTTGGTTTGTTTTTTAAGTTATGCTATAACGTTCGGATGTGCTTCCTATTTCCAGAGGAAATACATTAAACTCACGACCAGGTACATACAAACCCCAGTCAAATGTAAAAAAAAAATAATAATGAACAGCAGCAGCTGCAAAGGGCGGTGCAATATATTGTAATTAATTTCCTAAGGTGGGAGGAGACCATGGTAAATATATCCCCATTCTGCCAGTTGAATTGATTCTAGAGACTGTCTGCATGGACGTTAAGCATTTCAACAGAAAAGGGGAGACGAGGAGTTTGTGGCACCTGCGGGCCTTCTCAAAGGAGCTTCACAGGGTTCTCGCTAAGAGATGAATACATCACATGGCATAGAAGACAGTCCACAAGCCTAGGTGGAGGGGGAATGCAGCACCCCCTGCTAGATAGCGAGGGGAAAACAGTCCTTGAATGAGGAGGATGAAGTTTGATACTCACCGCTACTGAAGGCTTCCTTCTCCCATTGGAGAGTCCTGTGAGGAGGGGTCACTCCCAGGGGAAGAGGGAAAATCACCCCCCTGTTGCAAAAAGCAGGGAGAGACTAAAACAAGATGGCCAAGGGCTCCCAGGAATCCCTTCCCCACAGCTGCATATACCTAGCTTCTAAGTTCTTTTTGTTCAGGACCATGACTCCTAGGTGATGCCCCTCCAAAGAGCTCTGAGCACAGCTGGGACAAGGCAGCATTCTGATTTCAACCCCTGTGTCATGGGGTCCTACTCACTGCTAGGGCACCTCCTCCTGGTTATTCTGGGGATCAGCTCTTTGCAGGTCCAATGCCCCCTTCTGCCACTTGTTGCGTGCCTCTCTCCTTGAGACTCTAAGTGCTCTCCCTTGTTAGCTTGGCCCTCCCGCCAGGTCACAATGGTTTCCCCCTTCTGGGGTATCAAAGTCTTTCCACAGAAACTGTCTCCAGCAATCTTCTTATTCACTGCTCAGCTGGTGGCACTGCCCCAGTGGCTGGGAGGGGAACGTAGGCCCACCCTCTACTCCTAGTTCCAGACCAGGGACCATCTAATCAGCAGCCAAGGCCTGCACTATCTTAACCTTTCCTGCTGTTTCCCTCAGTCTTTTCCTACATCCTTTCCCTAGGTTTCTCACCCTAACAGCCACAGGGTGACTGCAGGTTCCCTCGCTGCAGCCCCTTTCCACTGCCAGCTTCCTGGCATTATCCTAGCCCCACAGCTGGGCTCGGTCATCTTTCAGGGGATTACTTGGGCCACCTAATTCCCCTCAGCTGTGGCCTAGTTGGTTGATCTGCCCCTCCTAGGCTAGTGTGGGATGAACACCCCATCACACCCTGCCATTACCTTTGCCTCCGCCTGAGCCTCAAGGAAAACAAGCTCAAACATTTCAAAACGGGTATCAAACACTACCCAGTCCTCTGGGTCCCCTGGAGTACAGCTGATGCCTTATCCCCAGTTCACTCTTTCTGGACAACCCATGTGATAAAGCTGCTGTACTCTGGCTCTGAACTGTAGCTGTTGGGGGGATGAAATGCAGTGTGGTGAGAGGAGAAAAACATGCCCTGGAGGACTTTTATAGGTAACCCCACTTTAGAATTCCCTGGCTTTCTAAAGTTTGTCATTTCAAGCGACACTTCTCTTCGGGCCTTTTTTCTTTTACATTCCTGCTACTTAGGACAGAGTTAGGGTTGAAGAAGTAAGTTTGTCAGGAAATATCCTTAGTTGTTTTGTTTTTCTGTTTAATAAAGTTGTCAGGGAAGAATGGTGTTAGCCCTTGCCATATAGAACTGTTTATTCGCCACCAAATAAATTACATTATTTCCTGGGCTACAGGTATGTCAAGTATATTTTGGCCTAAAATTTCTACAATTAAAAAAAACCAGAATTAAATACAATGATCCACCTTTATTTTGCTAACCCACGTGATCAAACCTAAACTTTACGATCTTACACTATCCGATCTCACATATCAGTGCGCTTGCAGAGAGGCAAACCTTACTAGAAAAGAATAATCTTTATTTTGGATGCTGTTTCGTGCCAATCCTTGCCCTAGCTAAGAACTCAAACCGACTTTCATCTCTGAAGCATAAGATAGTCATGACCAGGGAATAACTAAGAGTCAAAATATAATCTGCAGCCAAAATGTCACTGAGTGAATATTCTGTCATTCATCTCGACACTTTGTACTTGGAATTCTGTTTATGAAAGTATCCCTCGCAACCTTTCCTGTTACATAGGACAGTAAGTTTCTTATTCGTTACATCAAAGCTTCACTTTATTAAGATTCTTTCAAGGCCCCAAGCACCCTCAGTCTTGTTGCATAAAATAGTTGCTTCATTAAGAAATGCTTAAGAACACCCAAAAGCTTTTTCCCTCCCCTCCAAAGCCCTCGCAGATGTCTGTACAAGGACTGAGGCAAACAAAGAAAATTTAGTTTACAGACACAACCAGAATCTGACATCATTTTCATATATTAACCATGGAGGTGCTGCTGAGTTCAGTTCCGTACTTCAGGCTGAGTTCCATTTTGCATTAAAGCAGGGATGCAACCTCTGTTTTATATACAAAATAAGAGTGTGTCCTCCCCAAACGTCCAGCACTCACTCCCTGAGTACAGAATGAGTTTTTGGATAATTTACAAGTAAATTCATTCATTGGTTTATGCAGTCAAACTGGGTCCTTTAAGAAATTAATTAGTGTTGGCATGAGTCTTTTCTCTGTCCTGAGTGATCTTAGCAGAGTAGAGCACCAATCGCCACCCTTCCTGGCCAGCTAATTTGAAAGCAAGCGTACTATTGGCTGTAATGACTCAGTGGTACCAAGGCAGACTGGACACGTGCCAGGAGTTCTCACTGATGGATGGCTTGGCCCAACTGGCATTGCTCTTCAAAGGTTCCATTCGGCGGCTGCACACTTGTTTGGGCATCAGTGTTTGCACTGCTGCTTGGCTCCATTGAACACTGGGCCAGCACTGCCAAGGGAACCAGAGCGGGAGCAAAGAGGAAGCAGAGACACTGGGACTCCGGGCCTGGGGTCTTTCTCTCCCTGCTCCCGCCACACAGCAGAGTGGGGGTCTCCCTAACGCAGCCTTCTAAACCAATAGGTCAGTGGCAAACTCAGGGCCAGATTCACCAGTAAGCTTTGGTTGATTTGTGCCGCTCTGGCGATGCAATGTAGTTCTAAAACTAGGTGAACTGGCTAGTGCCCTCTGGCTGCTTCGCATTGCTTTGGTATCCCAGCGAATCCACCCTTGGAAGTTTAATTTTTTTAAAAATGATTGAAGGTTGGTGCTGTGTATCTTCAAGTCCTTAGAAATATCTGGTAGCATTCCCTTTGGGTTTCTTATTTAGTGTTCATCTATGAAAATATTTTAGAACTAGGGAAATTCCCAGACAAAAAAATATATATTAAGATGGAGTTAAGGTTGAAAAGATGCCTCAGTAATTAAATAACTGCTACAGGGATGTGATAGTGATCTCAGAACTAAGCATTAAAAAACCAGGCAATTCAGAGTAAAGGTTACACTCAAAAGAAATCCAAATATGTTAAGGTAAGAAATGCACAGTCAAGGCACCCAAAAAACTTAACTCTGCCCTGGAATCATGCCTGTGGGGGGAGCGGGGGAGAGAATGATATGAAAAAAAATTCTAACATCTTTAAATTTTATTTTTTTCTAACCTGGGATTACAAATCCTAACAACCTTAATCATAATCTGCATAGGGTGACCAGATGAGAGGAAGAAAATATCGGGACATGGAGGGGGTCCGCCGGCAGAGCAAAAAAAAAACTGCCGGGGGAGCAAAATATTGGGACAAATTGCGTCCCAACCAAAGATTGGTCGGGACACGGGACAAACACCTAAAAATCGGGACGGTCCCGATTTTATCGGGATGTCTCGTCACCCTATTTCTGCATGATTTCACTACAGGGCAGAGTTAAGGTTGTTTGAGTGTATTACTGTGCATTTCTTACCTTATGATATATACTCTCATCCTTAACTTCATTTTACTGTAGATTCTCATCTGGGAATAATATTAAGGATACCTAGCTCTTATCTAGCACTTTTCACGCACAGATTTCAAAGCACCTTACAAAGCTGATCAGTGTCATTATCTCCATTACACAGTTGGGAAAACGGAATCATGGAATTGTTAAGTGACTTGCCCAAAGTTACACAGCAGGCCAGTGGCAGAGCTGGGAACTAACGTGGAGTCTCCCGAGTACCAGTGCAGGGCTCTATCCACAGACGATGCTGGCTCCAAAATTTTCCCTTTTATTCTCACGATTAAAAAAGCCTTGTATTTGCATTAAGCTGAGAACATTTCTTTCACGTTGAGGCTGTAACATCCACAGCCGGTCATCACCAAAAGGACAAGATGCCTGCTATTACACGGATACCTTTCGTGTTTGAAAAAATACCCGACATGTAAACTTCATTGCATGTGACCGCTGTAATCCACTGCGTTACTCGTCTTCCTCATCATCTTCCGGGTTCCTCTGCAGGACAGAGGTGAGTTTATTCTGTAAGACTGCTGCCAGCTTTTTAGAGGTTTTCTTGAGGAAAGCACTCCCGGGGTGAGCGTTATTGACATGCAGATACAAGTCCTCTTGCGTTGGGCCCGTGTAGCCGCAATCTTCGCAGACGTAAAGTTTATCGCGCCGCTGTTTGTACGCATATTGCTGCTGCACCCCGTGGATCTTTTTAAGGTGGGATTCCAGAGAACATCGCTGGGTAAACGCCTTGTTGCAGATCTCACATTTGTAAGGCCGAATTCCTATAAGGCCAGACGACATTGTTTATTATTAATTATGATGAATCACATTTATTGCAATAACACTTAGGATCAACCAAGAAAAAATGCCCCATTGCGCTAGGCTACAAACACTGATTAGTCGACAGTCCCTGCCCCAAACCGCATACAATCGAAATAAATATTTACACTTTCTTAGGATAAGATTTTCTGAAGTGAGTGCCTCAAGCGAGGCGCCTTAAATTCATATTAGGCACCTAACACCCTGTTTCAGGAAAGCACAAAAGCGTTTCAATGAGACTTAGGCACATGTTTAAGCTGAACAGGAAGGTTTTCTTGAATCAGTGTCCTAAATTATACGGTGTTGCCAACTCTCATGATACTGACTTTGATGGGGCCAGGGTTTCACCCTATGTTTCCAGTTCTTGTGGATGCTGAGAAAAAGCTGAAAATGTTTTCCTCCAAAGACTCAAAACCCAGAGGGCAAATAAAAAACACTAAACTTAAAAAAAAAAAAAAAAAAAAACCCTACTTGATTTTTAAGCCAATCTCATGATTGTCGGGACCTTGGCTCACGAGTTTTGAGCTATTTTGGTCCATTTCCAACCTTAGATAAACTGGTGCAATTTTGTGTTTAGACATTGTGAACTTCTAATATTTATACTAGGGCTGTCGACTAATCGCAGATAACTCACGCAATTAACTCAAAAAAATTAATCGTGATTAAAAAAATTAATTGTGATTAATTGTAGTTTTAATTGCACTGTTAAATAATAGAATACCAATTGAAATTTATTAAATGTTTTGGATGTCTGTCTACATTTGCACATATATTTTATTCTGTTTTGTAATTGAAATCAAAGTGTATATTATTTTTGCTCATAAATATTTGCACTTTAAAAATGATAAAAGAAATTGTATTTTTCAATTCACCTTATACAAGTACTGTAGTGCAATCTCTTTGTCGTGAAAGTGAAATTTACAAATGTAAACTTTTTTTGTTACATGACTGCACTCAAAAACAAAACAATGTAAAACTTCAGAGCCTACAAATCCACTCAGTCCTACTTCTTGTACAGCCAATCACTAAGAGAAACAAGTTTGTTTACATTTACAGGAGATAATGCTGCCCACTTCTTATTTACAATGTCACCAGAAAGTGAGAATAGGCATTCGCACGGCACTTTTGTAGCCGGCATTGCAAGGTATTTACATGCCAGAGATGCTAAACATTCATATGCCCCTTCATGCTTCGGCCACCATTCCAGAGGACATGCTTCCATGCTGATGATGCTCATTAAAAAAATAAGCATTAATTAAATTTCTGACTGAACGCCTTGGGGAAGAATTGTATGTCTCCTGCTCTGTTTTACCCGGATTCTGCCTTATATTTCCTGTTATAGCAGTCTCGGATGATGACCCAGCACATGTTGTTCATTTTAAGAACACTTTCATTGCAGATTTCACAAAACGCAAAGACTGTACCAATGTGAGATTTCTAAAGATAGCTACAGCAAGCAACCCAAGATTTAAGAATCTGAAGTGCCTTCTAAAATCCGTTGTTGATGACTCAACTACTGGATCATTTTAGCAGAAACATCCAGCTAATTTGAGGCTGGAGGAGGGAGATTCTCAATCACAAATTTTTCTAGTAGCGTTGAAATGTTTGTCCCAATCACACTAGTAGTTAGGTCACGTCTACACTATAGGTGCTCCACCAGTACAGCTATGGTACCACAGCTATGCCACTGTAGCGCCATAGCGTAGATTCTTCCTACAGGTTTCAGAGTAGCAGCCGTGTTAGTCTGTATCCGCCAAAAGAACAGGAGTCCTTGTGGTGCCTTAGAGACTATCACATTTATGCTCCTATTCTTCCTACAGTGACACAAGGGGTTTTTCCACTGCAGTAGATAATCCATCTCCCCAAGCTTGTCTCACCCCCACTGTAAAGGCGGCTAGGTTGACGAAAGAATCTGTTGACCTAGCCGCCTTTCCAGTGGGGGTGAGACTAGCATAGCTACAGCGCTCCGGGGTGGGAATTCTTCACAATTCCCATCAAATCTAGTTGGAATTCAGGGAAAACATCAAGTTTCAAAACATATCTAGAACAAACAAAATGTAGCTCTTTTACAAATAATACCTTTGATTAAACGGAAAGAATTTATGCTGGTTACTTTTTACATTGAATTCAGCTCAGGCAATGGAAGATGACTAATCCGTTTCACTTTCATATTCTCATGCACTATCAGAGAGCTGCAAAGTTCTGGTTGCAAACACTGCAAGGAGCAATCGTTTCACGGAAACGTCAGACTATACTATATATGGAAATGTGTCTGCTGGTCTTAGTTTTTTTTTTTTTGGTCCTTAATAAAAGTTTGTTTTTACAAAATCTAAACTCTGGGTCAAAGTGAACCTGACGGTGTGTCTCTGCTGTTCCCTGCTGTTTGTCTCCGACAGCTTTCCATGCACAAATTGAAGATCCCACAATGCTTTTCAAATAGAAAGTCGCCTATCTTGGCCAACGTTTTCTCAGCACGTTAGATGTCAGTGGCTGTGTGGGAGCGACTGCGAAGCCATAAATGCCAGGTTTGCCTACACAGTTATTGCACCTGGATGTGCAGTGGGGTACCTGGCTAATGACTGTGCTTGGGGATACCATAAACAAAAAGGTTAATCAAGGTTGCACCGTAGCATCCCTAAGGTCCTGGCTAGTACTGAAATTGAGAGAAATCAGGGAGCTTGTCCAGCAGTCACTGGGTGTCCAAATCCTGCAGCACAGGCTAAACACTGCTGGTTTAGTGACCCCTATTTTATAGGATAGCCAGCTTGCCCAAGAATGTCTGCAGTGGTGAGGTTGGAGTCTAGGGGTCCCTCAGAAATTGCACAGGTGTAACTAGATTGATTTAGTGAAACCAGGGCAACCTTCTAGTGGACACTCTCAAAAAATCAATCAATCCATATTTATTTGGCTTAATTCAGTTATCTGCCACTCTTACAAGAGTGTCCACATAAGGGGTTATATCAATTTAAGCTCCCTCTGCATTCATACTCACACCAGTTACTTAAATTGGTGCAAACCCTTGTGTAAACACTCCTATTCCAGTTTGACAGCAGTTTATTTTGGTTTAGCGTAATCCTGTTTCTAACTGACTGAAGCTAACCCGGAACAGCAATGTCCACACAGCCTTTTGTACCTTAAATGTCTCCACACAGAGCCGCACAAGCCCTTCATTTAATGGATGCAATTTCTGTGAACCCAAAGCAGCGTGATTCTGCCACAGCTGGCTCTGTGGGGCATCTGTGCTCAGGGCTAGGAGAAGTCAGATTTGCTATCTGGCTTCCCTCAAACCAGCCAGTCTGGAGGGGAGGCAGAGTAGGATGTAACCAAACGAAACCGTAGTTATCTGAGGTTGTACTGAATATAAAATCCTATTCTGTGGTTCACCCTTTGACTATTAACCAAAACACTGCTTTCTGTTGCCTGTAGGGGGCAGAGCACTTTAGTTTTAAAAAAGGAACACCACGCGGTCGGGCTGCAGAACCTTCTCCCAGCTGCTCTCACCTGTATGGGTCCTTACGTGTCTCTTCAGATCAAAGGTGTCATTGAAACCTTTGCCACAGAAGGTGCACAGGTGTCTCTTTACTTGGCTGTGACACTTCACGTGACGGTTGAGCATTCTCTGCAAGCGAAAGCCTTTGCCGCACAGCTCACAATTGTGCAGTGCCGCATCGTCGCAGGTACCAGTCGTGAACTAACGGATGGAAATAAAACATGGTTCAATCCGATTCTGGGTCGACAGGCAAGAGCAAAGAACCAGGGGATTCTCTCTCTGCACAGTGAAAGCATCCTCACGGTAACAACACAGGAGAAACTGAATAGTATCACCAACGAGAAATCGGCTTTTATTGTCTGAGGCCTTAGCTTCCACTTGCAGTGAGCTGCGTGAAGCTGACCCCTTGCACCCACATTCCTCACACCGATCTCCCTGCATTATCAGGGCTTTCATCTCCTAAAACATTAGGGCCAGAGATCCATCGCATCCGACAGAAACATGCCATAAAGTCCCTGCATTACATGTCCCCTCCCCATGCCCCCATAATCAGTGTCACAACCTGGATCTGAAAATAGAGTGCCATTTCACAATACCCTGAATTACCGTCCCAACTGTATCCAGGGCCTGATTTTCAAAGGCACAAAGGATGGCCAGGTGCCCAGCTTCCATTGATGGTGCACCTAATTCTGCCCTTTAGACCATATTTACTAACACGTATTGTGCCTGAGGATTTGTTTTTTAGCACTATTTTTAAAAAGAATGCTAAAAACGCTAAAATCCCCCTAAAGGAGCGGTAGTGATTTGAATCTGTTATTACAGTTAGTGGAATTTCATCTTAATAACATAGAATTGGGTGTAGATTATTCCATATGGATTTGGGCAAGATCTTCAGCTGGTGTCAATCGACTTCTCTCCATTTAAGTCAGTAGAGCGACACCAGCTCAGGATTTGACATATATACGAATTTAATTGCTCGGAGTGGAGAGTTCTGCAGAAACGGCCTCAAACATTTTGTGAGCCTCTGGATTTATTTAATAAAATGAGCTGAAAAGGTAAGCTCATGTGTGGGGGGGTCAGAGTTAAGGGTGAATTTCGAACTCTTGTTCAAACTTATATGAGAGAGGACTGACTGAATGGAAGAGAACAGGATTTCTAAAGCATGTGAAACAATCTTATTTGGGATTTGTAGTATGTCAGTTAGTGAGGCATGGATACCAGCTTCCTTACTGCCATGTTAATGTGGGTTGTTTGTGTTGGAAGAGAAACAGCTAGCACGACGTTGGGTTGGACATTGAGAAATGAGGATGACTCCCTCCACCGTCACAAGGAATTGTCCAGGCGTTATACAACCTAAGGCATGGACCACAGACTCCACACAGATCTGAGGAGTTCCACAGCTTATGGGGCAAAGTCCGTAGCCCAATTCAACGGACAAGGAGCAATCTCAGAGTCCCTGCGGGTTTTTCCACAGGACGAAAGGGAACCTGTCCCATGAGTCATAAACCGGGATAATAGAAACATGCAGTCATGAGAAAAAATGAAAACATTCCAAAGATTTATGCCCTAATCCAGCCAAGCACTTCAGCACATGCTTTACTGTAAGCCTATGAGTAACCCATTGGCTTCAATGGGACTCCTCATACTTAGGTATTTTGCTGGATCAGGACCTTTGTCCTTGTCTCTATGAGAGAGTTATGCTTGTCTAACTAAGGCCTCATCGTCACAGGAAAGTTTTACCAGTTAGAGAGGTAGAACCCCCTAGGTTTTCAACCAGGGGTACGTGTACCTCTGGGGGGTACGCAGAGGTCTTCCAGGGCGCAACCAACTCATCTAGATATTTGCCTAGTTTTACAACAGGCTGCATAAAAAGCACTAGCGAAGTCAGTACAAACTAAACTTTCATTCTAGATCCTATACACTGAAATGTAAGTACAATATTAAACATTCCAATTGATCTATTTTACAAGTATATGGTAAAAATGAGAAAGCAAGCAATTTTTCAGTAATAGTGTGCTTCTGTATTTGTATGTCTGATTAAGTGAGGTGAAACCTGGGGGTACGCAAGACAAATCAGATTGCTGAAAGGGATACAGTAGCCTGGGAAGGTTGAGAGCCACTGCCCTAGATAGACACACATAGCCATTCTGCTATGGGTTATTTTCAGTTTAGCTTAAATCCCTTCCAAGCAACATACTAAAACAAACACACAAAAAAGCCACCCTTATACTGGAATAAGAGCATCTACACAGAGGATTATGAGGGTATTTGAATTAACACCTTAGTTTACACCGCAAAACTTCCCCGTATAGACAAGGCTTAAATCGGTTTAGAATCACACCTTTAGTGAAATCAATGCAGCTTTCTCGTGTAAACAAGATTTCAGTGTATCTCTAAGGACTTCCTTTTGCTGTGTCTGATGGAACAGAAGATTTGTTTACCAAAAAGTTTCTAGAGGTTTTGGTTGTGAAGATAATCCTTACAAAGTAAGCCAGCATGCCATGTGTTGACTCTGCAGAGACTGAAACAATGGAGTCATCCCCAGTTTATCTCACTTGCCTGTTAATTAACTTGAAAGTGTTATTCTGAGTTAATGTTTTCATTCTTCATTCTAATACAAGAAAGGTCGAGCTAATGTGATTATCTGAAGTGGCTGGACCCGATGCTGGTGGTTCAGCTATTTGGAAGAACGTCCTTTATGGGGGAAGCTCAGTGTTTTGATTATGCTAATAGTTAAACATTAATTTGATAGCCACGCTGTCCATTAAGGATATATCTACATTGCAATGAAAGACCAGCAGCTGCCTGGGTCAGCTGACCCAGGCTCTGGGGTTTGGGAGGCAGGGTTATAAAACTGCAGTGTAGACATTCAGGATGGGGCTGGAACCTAAGACCCCATGTGAGCGTCCCAGAGCCCAGGCTCCAGCCAAGCTGGAATGTCTATATTGGAATTGTCTAGCCCCAGAAGCCCAGGTCAGCTGACTCATGCCAGCCCCTCTGTGCCCCGGGTCTCTTATCACAATGTAGACGTACCCTAAAACACAGGGTGCAAGGTGAGTTTAGCAGGCAGAGCAAAAAGGGACTTTAGCAGACTCCTGAGAATCTGCTGTGCATTTAGTGGTGTTTCTAGAAAGCTTGGGGGGGTTCTGCAGAATCTCGGTTAATAAGACGATACATATTTCTCTGTGGCTTTAACAATAGCGGGGATTAAAATATAAGGGTCATCAGTAAACTAGTGAGCAAAATAAATTCCACGGTTTGAACAAAAAATAACCCCAAATTCCCAGCGGATTCTTTTCTTCCCGGCCATATGTGGCCTAGATCCCTGTGGCAGTCAGCTCAGTACAAACGCGAGGCTTTACCTACACAGAGATCATGGCAGGATCAGGGCCGACAGCAGCACAAAGCTCTTTTGTATTTAACCATAATACAAATAATAAATAACAATGAAGAGGCAGAGAATTAGGTTTTCCTGACGCGCTGGCTATTTTGCCTGACCCTCCTCCTCCTCCTCAGTAGCAAAGCAATGCTCGCAGAAACTGGCTCATGGAAAAGATAACAAGCCAGTTGCAAAATTTTGAATGAAGCTTCCGTAGTGAGGCGGAACTCATTTGCTCTGATCGGGCTACTTTTTCTTTTACACCGGGGAAAAACACTCAGTTAACTGCCCTTTTTCCGTCTTACCATTTCTGCTGAAATCTCCATTACAATCAGCCGGTTTTTGACTCCACTCAGTCAGGCTCCAAATATGTGCATGTGTGTACACGCAAGAAACACACATGGAGAGTGATTTTTTCCAAGTAGTTAGTTAACAGACAATTCATGAATTTCAACACACGGTGAGTGACTAAATCCCCTCGTCTGCCTTGCGAATCTCATCCACGGTTTTTGAGGGCGGGTATTTCCATAGCTTTGTATTTATTTAACTGAAAGAAGGCCCTTGGGTATAGTTTTGGAAGGAGGCAGAGGGACTTTGCCCCCTCCAAACTGCATTGCTCCCCCACTCGCAGCCCCATTGGCCTGACTCAAGTTTCCCCCCCGGATATAGAAGTCAAACTATGCCTGTGAGTAGGCCCCAGTGTGGCAGCCGTTGTGGCCCAGATCCTCCAAGGTATGTAGGCGTCTAACTCCAATAGGAGTCAGGTGCCTAAATATCTTGGGTGGTCTGGGCCTGTGTTCCCCGGTTGACGGTCACCGGGCTGGTTGTGCGCCAGGTGCGCAGATTATGGGAGGCTGGTGCTGTACCTTGATTTTCGATCTGACCACTGGGCGCTTCATGGCCAAGTCCAGAAGGGTCCCCTCTGCGTTCCCGATCTCGGCTGCTGGCTGAGGAGTCGGGGGATCACTCCGCTCAGCCTCCCTTGTGCTGGTGGCGCTGCTGCCATTGCTCTCCAAGCTGCAGCTGTCTTCAATGCGGTAGTTCAGCAGCACGCAGCTTATCCCCCCTGGGGCAAGGCAGAGAAGGGGGGTTACTGGGAAAGGGAGAGACGCTTGCTGCAGGGGAAAGGGGGTGGCCCGGATTCAGAGCTCCTGCAAGAGGAGTAACAGTGGCCAGGGGAGGGGCAGCAGCAGCAGGGTGCCGATGGCAGCTGCAGTGCTGTCAGGGGCAGGCTGGGCTCTGGCCCTTCCCAGAAGAGGGTCGGGGGAGCAGAGTGGGAGGGTGCTGCCCAGGGACAGGCTGGCAGGGGACAGGCAGGCAGGGTGCTGCCGGAGGGCACAGGCTGGCAGGGTGCTGTCCAGGGACAGACAGGCAGGGGGCAGGCGCGCAGAGAGCAGATAGGCAGGGGGTAGGCGGGCAGGGTGCTGCTGGAGGACTCTGCCAGAGGATGCAGGTGGTGGTGGGATGCCAGGGTGGCAAGGGGCAGGGAGGCAGGGCACTGTCCAGAGGCGGGTGGGCAGGCTGGCAAGGGGCAGGAAGAGGGCAGGCAGAGTGCAGGTGGCAGGCAGTGCCAGGCTGGCGGGCAGGATGCTGCCCAGGGGCGACCAGGCAGGCAGGGGGAGGCATGCCAGGCTGGCAGGCAGGGCGCAGGTGGGGGGGAGGAGTGTCAGGCTGGTGGGCAGGCAGGGTACTATCCAGGGGTAAGATGGCAGGGGACAGGTGGTGGGGTGCAAGGCTGGTAGGGCACAGGTGGCTCCAGGCTGGCAGGCAGGGGGCAGGTGGGAGAGGGGGTGCCAGGCAGGGGGCAGGTGGTGGGGGGTGCCAGGCAGGCAGGAGGCAGGTGATGCCAGGCAGGGCACAGGTGGTGGGGGTGCCAGGCAGGCAGGGAGCAAGTGGTGTGAGGTGCCAGGCAGGGGGCAGGCAGGGCACAGGTGGGAGAGGGGGTGCCAGGCAGGAGGCAGGTGGTGCCAGGCAGGGCACAGGTGGGAGAGGGGGTGCCAGGCAGGAGGCAGGGGGTGCCAGGCAGGGCACAGGTGGTGGGGGTGCCAGGCAGGCAGGGAGCAGGTGGTCGGGAGGTGCCAGGCAGGGGGCAGGCAGTGGGGGTGCCAGGCAGACAGGGGGCAGGCAGGGCGTAGGTGGGAGAGGGGGTGCCAGGCAGGCAGGAGGCAGGTGGTGCCAGGCAGGCAGGAGGCAGGTGGTGCCAGGCAGGGCACAGGCGGTGGGGGTTGCCAGGCAGGCAGGGAGCAGGAGGTGGGAGGTACCAGGCACAGCACAGGTGGTGGGGTGTTCCAGGTAGGCAGGGGGCAGGTGGTGGGGGCTGCCAGGCAGGCAGGGGTGGTGCCAGGCAGGGGGCAGGGGATGGGGGGTGCCAGGCAGGCAGGGGGTGGTGCAAGGCTGGGCACAGGTGGTGGGGGATGCCAGGCAGGGGTCAAGCAGAGGGTGGTGCCAGGCAGGGCACAGGTGGTGGGGGATGCCAGGCAGGGGACAAGCAGAGGGTGGTGCCAGGCAGGGCACAGGTGGTGGGGGATGCCAGGCAGGGCACAGGTGGTGGGGGTGCCAAGCATGGGGCAGGCAGGGGTGGTGCCAGGCAGGGCACAGGTGGTGGGTGATGCCAGGCAGGGGGTGGTGCCAGGCAGGGCACAGGTGGTGGGCGATGCCAGGCAGGCA